GCTATTCCTGAAACTATCTCTAGACTTCTTGTTCTGTGAGATAGCATGATTTCTTATTGTTTAAACCAGTTTGAATTAGGATTTTCTTTTATTTTCAGCCAAATGCATTGAAATGGAGATAGCTTATTACATATTTCTTCCTCTTTTTTTCCTAAAGTAGAAGCAATCATTTTGAAAAGAGTTAAAGTTTTTTGATAAGTCAAAGGAGTATCAAAGCTACTAAAAGCAGAAGCAAATAGGGACCCTGACCAAAGTTGAGGTCCCTTTGTCTACCTAATACTTTCTAAATAAAAAAATAATTTCCCTACTGTTTTAATTACTTCCCCAAACCAGGAATGATTTGCTCCCTTATGCCCATTTTTGTTCTTTGCAAATAAGGCAGTAATTTGAGTGTACCAGTTAAACCAGTCATAGATGATTCTACTGTGCCATTATTTTCAGATATGTCCAAACCGGTTTCAGTTCTGTGTTTCCTTTGTTTTAGTCCTCTTCGTCTCTGCCCTTAGCCCATCCTCTACCCAAATGCCAGAAGTAGATCTTACCCCTTCATCTTTTGGAATAGGCACAATGAGCAGATTTCTGCCCCCAAACAGGTAATGACTTTAAAAGTAGGTATATTTTGAATCAGGTAGATATTGTCTTTCTGAGAAAGATATTCAACAATTTTAATGTGATTTGTTTAATAGTTATATATGGTAATTTTAGCTGCCATATCTTACATCATACATTTTTTGTTGTTTATTTTTAGAAAGGGTTCTTTAATAGATTTTTGTTATACGGGATTAAAAGGCTAAGGCCCAGAGAGGTTAAATGACTGATCCTGTATCACATAAGTAGATGGTAACAAAGTTGTGCCTAACATTCTGTCTCTTCTTCCTTTTCTCCTTATGAACCTTCTGTGTTCATTTTTCATTAATGACCCCACCTCCTAGAAGGAGAGGATATAGACAGCTAGATGACTGAGAGGCAGTTCAGGTGGGGATCTGGCTGAGGCTGAAGTCTTCCTACTCCTGGAATGGCCTCTTATGGGACAGGTACTTTGGAACTGGCATGTGGGTTGCTTTGCAGCTGGGGTGCCAGTTTTTCCATGTGTGACTCTTAAGTACTTCTGTCAGATTTTGCTAGTGCCTAAAATTTTATGTAATGAAAATGAAGATATTTTTATTTTTCATAATTCTCTTAAAATGTTTTGGCAAACTTGAACTAGTTTATAGAATGGTATTTCCAATTTTTGGTTTGATGGTCTTAGAAGAATTAACTGTTTTCTTTCAAAAGAAAAGTCAAAATTAGGAGAGGAATGCTTTTTTCTTATCTGCCTTTTGTTATTCTTTTCTCTTTGACTAAAATTTTCTTTACATTTGTTTGTGTGAATCTGACCTCTTTTAATTAACTGTTACGTTTTTTGAAAAAAAAACTTGACTTTTCAATAGTAACCTCTCATTCCTTTATTTATGCTTTTCCTATAGTACCTGTCATATTCTGTCCTGTAACTGTACATTATTGAAGGACCTATATAGTATAAGTATGTGTGTGTGTGAAAAAAAAAGATAGTGCTCTTGTCTCATTCTACTAATCATCTCCTATCTCCTTATTTTCTCATCACCTATAACATTTAGACCCTTTAGAAATTAAAGAGATGGAGATTCAGTAGTTTCTTAAACTTGGTAGTTATATTGAAAATATTTTTATATTTGTTTCTTTTATATGTTCATAATTTTACACATGTATACATGTACATAATGTGTTTATACATTCTTTTCCTTCTGTAAAAGTGTAAGTAAATTCATATGCATGAAATATGCATAAAGTATTCTAATACAGTTTAGTGTGATTTAGTAGAATTACTTTTAGATCTGCAGATTAAACAAAAGTATAGGTAACTTACTCTTTCCTCTATATGTTACATGAAATACCAGTTCTAACTTTATTTTTACACTGTAATGTCTCTGAAATTGGGATATATAAACAAGTAGTGGCATGGTATAATTTTCTTTGTTGGTCATATATAAAGTAATGGTGCATCTTCTGGCCTTGGTGAATTGATGTTGAGGATGCATTCAAAGAGTGAATAAAATCGTTTTCTTGAATGTGGTAGTAGAAGAAAGTAGTATTTCTAAATTAGCATTATTTTTCATATACTCCATTTTAAATGTATATGTAACCAAATGAATCTATTACTGTTTATAGTTATTTGACTATTTTATCTACATCCTGAGTTTTTTACGTTGACCTAAAAAGGGTTTTTTTTTTTAAATTGGGAAAATGGCTTTCTTTTATGTTAGTATCACACATTCAGATACCTATGGCATAGTGTAACCGAAAAATGTTACACTATGCCTCTTGATATTTAGTCTTCATATTTGTAAATATTTTTCTTAAAGAAATCCTGAATTGATACTCAGCTTAATGTCTTCAAAGCTCTGCCATATAGAAATTAAGCTGTCTGTAGCTTTGACATAAGCTGCTATATGATTTGTGAGGAGAATGGTTGCTGAGAGGATTTCCTCAGTTGTAAATGTATGAGTTTGCATCTTTGGTCCAAGAAGTATAGCATCAGGCAATACACTCTTCATATGGCGGGAATGGAAGAGAGTTGACTGGGGCTGCTTGTGGCTGTGAGGAATTACATAAGATGTGTGTTCTTGCTTGAGGGAGAAGGGTCTGTGTTTAAAAAATGGAACAATATTGCCTGAAGCTTGGTTGATATAGAAAACGAAATGACAAAAAAGGAAAAGACAGATACCAAAGTATTACAACTGAAGACCGGTACTTTATCTGATCCTGCTTGCTTCAGCTTGCTTTCTGGGGAACCTGCCTGTTTCTTTCTTCTTCCTCCTTTGTCAGTTTCACTGATCTCATTTAAAAGGAGAATAAATTGTACAACTTTACATAGTCAATTCTATTAGGTCGTCTTTCCAAATTTTCTTTTCTTCTTTTTTTTTTTTTTTTTGAGACAGAGTCTCATTGTGTTGCCCAGGCTAGAGTGCTGTGGTGTCAGCCTAGCTCACAGCAACCTCAAACTCCTGGGCTCAAGTGATCCTACTGCCTCAGCCTCCCAAGTAGCTGGGACTACAAGCATGCGCCACCATGCCCGGCTAATTTTTTCTCTATATATTTTTAGTTGGCCAATTCATTTCTTTCTTTCTTTTTTTTTTTTAGTAGAGACGGGGTCTCTCGCTCAGGCTGGTTTCAAACTCATGACCTTGAGCAATCCGCCTGCCTGGGCATCCCAGAGTGCTAGGATTATAGGTGTGAGCCACCGCGCCCAGCCTCCAAATTTTCTTGTGGTATAACACCTTATAATTTGTTACTATGCTCTTTTAAGAATTTGTGTTGAGTGGCTGCCTTAATGTTTTACTTAAAAGTGTATATCACAATTCCATGTGCAGGTTTTCTCCTCCTAAATTTGTTCCCCAAGTGCTATAATTTGATGCTAAAGTGAAATATGATTCACAAACAATAAAATAGTAAAAAGATAATTAAAGTTTCTTTGTGTTGGCTGGAATAAGCTCAGTTTTTTTCATGGATTTACCCATGTCTTATATAAAACTTTGCACCTGTAGATCTCAAATTATTCTGACTTCATATATCATAACCAACAAAAATAAAAAAGATCATTGGGGACAGTCATTTAGAGATTGGCTTTTTTTTGCCTTGGAACATTGTCTACATTTTAATTGTTTTATATATGCTAAAGGTCCGTGGATTTTTTATAGATTCCTAAAGAAGCGTCATAGAACAAAGTGTATCAAGGTGAGATGTCAACAACCTACCTTCTTATTCTTCATCTACCTCTTACCCACTGTGTGATTGTGAGCAAGTTATTTTGTTTCTCTGTTTCTTAATCTCTTTATCTTATGTAATGGAGATAATAAATCTTACCTGCTTTTACCTTTTTTTATTCTCATAATGACTTTTGAAAACTCTGGCTTTAAGTACTAAATTAGATTTGTGCAACACATCACTAAGATTAGAAAACATTAAACTACAAATTGAAATAGTGCTTGCATTCATGAAGTACATCTTTTGTTTTAGATTCTTAAAGTAAAACTTAGGCCATGAAGACAGTCCAGATGGCATTAGCCATTAGAAGTCTTAACTATTTTCAGAATAGTACTGATTTCAGTGAAATTGACTAATTTTTAAAAAGAGAAAACTGCCTGTTATTATAAAAGGCAATAATGAATGAACCATAGGGGCTTCATGCTATGTAGGAATATTAAGCATGGCTACTTTACATCTCTGATTGCCAAGCAACATGGAGAATGAATTGATGTTTATAGAACTGTGTATTCTTGTTCATTATTGCTTTTAGATTACACCATTTGAGGATTTTGGTAGATCTGGAGTGAGAAATAATTGGTTGTGATTAGAAAAATTATGTTTTAACATTTATTATTTCAAGTTATTATAAGTAAATTAGAATTCTGTATTCTGTAGAATAACTGAAGCTGTCAGTTTTTTTCTGCTTTTGGTTCTGAATAATTTGCATCCACTTAATGGAGTAGGGTGGATAAAGGAGTAGTCGGTTATAAGGTGGGTGTATATAAAGCTAAGCTGACTAAAAAATGTGAAACCACTTAATGCCAGTTCTAGCTACTTAAATGAGAAGGGGGTGAGAGGAGTGTGTGTGTGTGTGTGTGTGTGTGTGTGTGTGTGTGTGTGTGTGACTAACCTCTTCTTTTTGTTAGTGTTTAAGAAATTGGTTTTTTTCTTGCCCTAGGAAATGGTAAATTTTGGACAAAATTTTTTCTTTGGAAACTTTCATTAAAGTATAGTGGTATAATCTAGTAAGAAAATATATCCGTTGAGAGTTGAAAATCTGAAATTACTAATTTTTAGTGCCTGTGCAGAATCTGTGTTACCCTGTCCTCTTCCCTATTCTTGCACTTCATGTTTTATCTATATCCATGAATAATATTATGTCTGAATATTGTCCTTACTAATTCTTTCTAACTTTTTCTTTCACATTTTCTTCCTGGATTTGCTGTTTCCTTCAGTTTCACCTCAAGGTCAGTATGCTTGCATTAAAACAAAGATAAAGTAAGTGAGCGTTGTATACTAACATTATCTTGGATTCCAATAGAGAACTGAAATGATAAAACATGTTCCGAGAGAGATGTCTAGAAATCTAGTTAAGAATGCAAAAAATGTCAGGGATATTAGGTTTACTAGAAGAGCTGATTCAGATTTTTGTGCTTCAAAAGATAGTGGGAGTTGTCAGAGAGCAAGAACCAGATTGACCAGGTTTTGACTGAGAGAGGAATGGAGATGAGAAGAGCCAAGAGGGGAATGAGGAGGGACAAATAAATTGTTTTAATTTAATTAATATTTCATCAGAGACATGCTGACCCTTTAGCAGGGTAAAGGGCAGTAAGAATGCTGGAGGGGAACTTGCCACAGTCTGTAGAATTATATAAGAACCTTTGAATTATTTCACCTAGACAAATCTTTACACACACACCCCCTTTAAATTTGGGATTCATTTTGTGATTCTGCTGAGTGGTAGAACTAGTGATAACAAAACCAGTAACCACTGCTGCTATTTACATGTGCCAGAGGCACTCTGTCAGAAGATTTACATATTTTATTTTAATTGAGCTCCTCAGCAACTATGAAGAGAGATTTATTTCCATTTTTAGGTGAAAAACACAAGTGCAGAGTCCATTAAGTAACTTGCTCATCTTCATTGTAAGTAAATAGAGAAGCTGCACAAAATAATCAGAAACCTGTATTTTTAAAGCTATTTGTTTTGCATATGTGCTATAACAATGTAAATTAAAGTATTAGGATTTCTGACAGGGTTCAGAAAATAAGCTAGTTAAGAACATTTGTGTTGTACCTAACAGCTATTTTCTAATATTAGTGATATCATACATATTTGCTGTTTATAAAAAACGTCTTTGATTCTCACAGCTAGCATATAGTTTACACAGGGCAGATTATTATTCTGATGAGGAGCTAAGATTAGGAAACATGATTTCTTCAGGGTCAGCCAACCAAGTAATGACACTTACGTTTGAAGCAAGATCTCATGTTAACCTCAGGGCTCTTTATATTATATGCAGTGTAGCCTAGGAAGTATAGGATGAGCTGTGGAGCCCCAGATTGTTTGGATTTTCTTAGTCAGATTTCTCATCTATAGTTTTCTCATCTGTAAACTGGGATAATTATCTAAAGTTTGAGAGAGTTAATACAAATAGCACTTGAAATAGTGTAAGGCACAGGGTAAGCAATCAATAAACGTAGCTATTATGATTATTCCTTTTGCCTTTTTAATGGAGTGCTATTTGACACATTTTATTATAGCATGATGTCATTCATCATTTTGGGTTCTTTAAAACATTGTACTGTTCTTACTGATTCATGCCAGTATGAATACAAAGTGCAAATTAGATTCCCAATGCAAAGTTGTATATGTGTAGAAAATGACAAAAGAAGACATATTTCATCTGCAATATTTTAGGACTCCACTTGCCTTTTGGGGTGCAAAAATTTGTATTATAGGTAGAAAGATTAAGTTGAGGCTTTGTTGGAAAGAGATTCTTTCCCATTTCTAATTCCTGAAATTTCTTAGTGTTTAAGTTGAGGACTTAAATGTTACTTCTGAAAGGGTTTCCTTACCTTTGTGACTCATTTAAAAATAAGCAATTTGTGTGAGGTGTAAGTATATTAAAAATACAAACAAACAATAAATAAAATAACAATAAATAATTAAAGCAATTAAAAAAACGATAAATAAATAAAAACCTTCTTTTATGAACTGCTTATGCTAATCTAATTTCTAAAGAGGATTCTTCAGCCTGGTTTGCACTGTCCTCTTCCTTCTCCCTTAGCCAATAACCCCGCCTACTTTACCAAGTAAATAGAGCCTTAAAGGTGTCAGCAGTTTCAAAATCTACAACTTTACTCATCTTTACCTTCCTTTTGTTTCAGAGGAAGTAGTGTCCCACTTCTTTCCCAAGGCTGAGTCTCCCTATCCTTTTCACACCTCCCTTCTTACCTGCTCTCACAGCCTGTCTCCCTGTTCTCTTATTTCCATTGTCTCCCTTTCCACTGACTCCTCCAAACTTAAATCATGTACTGGTTTCCCCCAGCCTTAAAAAAAATTTAACTAGTCCTTCCTGGAGCCTTTTCCTTGGCTTCAATCTACTACAGTATGTTATTTTTACCTTTTACTTTCTTTCATTTTTTCTTCCATTTGCACAGTTCTTGAAAGGATTGTTTATGCTTGCTGCTTCCACGCTCACACTTCCCATTTATTTCCAAACCACTCTGATCTGGATTCTTCTTCACTGCTGTGCTAAAATTGCTTCAGTGGTGTACTTAGTAGTTGCCTAGTACAGTGACCCTGTCTTGGGTCTACTTGGCCTTTCTGGGTGTTTGATATTATTGACTATCCCCCTTCCTTCTAGAACTCTTCTTTTGTGGTTTCTATGACAGTGTTTTCTGCTCACTCTCTTACTATGTTGTTGACTGTATTTTGCTTTTCTTCTTTTAGATGTTTCTCAACTCTTAGTGTTTCTAGTGTGTTTTTTTTTAAGTTCCTTTTTTTCACCTGTTATTGGTGCTCTGCCTTGTTACCACCAAGGACTTATTAGATTTGTTTTGTATAAATTTTTGTGGAACCCCCATTTTGAATAAACTGCATTAATTACAGAAGAAATCTTACAGTGTTTGTAATAAAAATAGAAAGCACAAATACTAATTTAAAGATAATTTTCATGCTTTTTAAACATTTTCTCCATATATTATAGTAAAGCAGTATAGGTACCACTTAAGTAATTCCAATTATGGTGAAATCTGAAAGCAGTTGAGCTTTCTAAAGTAGAACAATATCATTAAGTCTTTTGCTTGTGTTTGGAGAACTTTCATCTCTAACTTGAGTTTCAAGCTGACTCATGTTTTAGTGGTAAGTTTTATCATTTGTCCTATATTTTGTTGTTTGCATGGCAGGTTTTGGTCTCAGTGTCTCTAAATGAAATGCTGCGAAAAGCTCCAGAAGAATCTGTCCTTGAAGCCATTGGTGTATATATCGTTCTTTTATAAGTTATGTGAATTATAATATTGTTAGCTGGTTTACTGTAGTAACTTTTACCCAACAGCAGTTGTCATTAAATTATACTTATTTCTCAATAAGTTTATTTTAACAGGAATACAAAATAAAATAGGTTTTGTTTTTCCAGTGGCAAAGATCATCTTAGTTGTAGTATGTAAAAGTTTGAAGCCTCTCTTCATTACGGATTAGAATTTCGCGTAGTATTTTTTCTATATAGAAACATTTTACCATTTTAATTATTGGTTTTGTCAAGTCTAATTGAGTAGGTCATTAAGACAGAATAATTGACTGATGCTTTGAGATAGGATTGTGTGTTTGGGTGACTTCATTATATGACCTTGGGCAAGATACTTAACCCCCCCCTCCCCCCAACCATTTATAGTCACCACTTGTTTTGTGTTAATAGTGTTGCTGAACTGTAGCATTTGTATTTTAGTGTCTCCACTAAGTATTTGCATTTTTGGTAGGTTTATTTTTACTCCTTTGCTCCTTGTTTGTCTTCCCCTTCCCTCCCTTGTCCCCCTTTCCATTCAGTACAGAGCAGAGGGATTTTATTTAGAGTGATGCTGATGAAGATTGACACTTTGTTTCTAATCAAAGACATTAGCACCAGTGAATGAATATAAAGAAATAATTCGATATATAGATGAAATATATGATTTGGTTCAGAATTCATACTTTGGCTAAAGAATATTCAGAGGTAAGAGCTATAAATGTCATCTGTTAACTCTTTTAACACTGAGGTCTAAAAAAATTGAGCTCAATGTTATTATTACCTGTGTTTTAAATTAGTGGTACCTCTTGCAGACTTATTTTGAAAACAAATGTTTAGAATCTGTGTGCTAGTTCCTACCAACTTCATTAAGACCAGAGTGTCATTACATAGTAAAAGTCAAAAACTTTATATATATTTTGCCCCCAAACATTCCCCATTTCCATTATTACAGTCTCTTTTGTATAATTTGATAAAGAGTTCCATGTTGATTTCTATAATCTAGCTTGGTCAAATAGTCATTTCTCTGTACATTTTAGAAATCTTTTTTTACGTTTCTGACTTAGTTCACTAAGAAAAGGCAGTAGTCACTAAAACCTCATGAGATGTCATTCACAAAAAAAAGATTTAATTGTATTTTGAAGGCTGAGTTATTTTCTTTTTTTTCTTTTTTAGCTAAAATATTCAGGACTCTATAGTTCCTAGAGCATTTGTGAGCCTGTAAAATCTCTTTATGAGGAGTTTGACTATGGGCAAGAGGATAATGAGCTAGAATGGTTTGTTGTTCGCGTTTTTAGCTTCTACTTTTTATTCCTTTGGCATTTTAAGCAACTTTATTTTTCAAGAGCATGTTTTCTTATTTATTTTCCTTTTAAATAATAATATTGCCTAAAGTTTTTGTAATAGCCCACACAAGCAAGTGTAGTATACCTTCTGTTAACTAACATCTCCTGAAATAATAATGTACAGTTTAGAATGATTCATTGGTAGGAAAAAAAAATGTGTGAACATAGACTTGTGCTGATCTATAATACCTAACTCTTCTACTGAAAAGTGTCATGCTATCATGCATTGAGAGTAATAAACATTGTTTTTCTAGGTAGCACTTGTAGATGACCACCTAGTAAAGTTGCCAGATTCAGCAAAAAAAAAAAAAAAGAGGCAGAGAGGAGGGATTCCCAGTTTAATTTGAATTTCAGATAAACAATGGATCATCTTTTAATATAAATATGTCTTATAGATATTAAGACATACTTATACTAAAATATTATTCGGGGTTTATCTGAACTATAAATTTTTCTTGGTATCATGTATTTTATTTGACAGACCAGTTTCTGTCCCCCCATCTCAACAAAACCACTGAAACACATGTCTGATTTCTAACTAGGGCTTCACACTGTTAAAAATGCTATTGTATTCTTTATCACACTTCAGCTGTATGAAATAGATGATTTTCCCATTTCACAGATTGGAAAATTGGGGTTCAGGAAGATTAGAGGATATACTTGGGGTCATAACTACTAAATGGCATAATCTACAGTACAATTCCAGTTTCTCTGATTTCAGGTTTACCACATACTTTATTTTCCTTTATTTCTTGTTATTGTATGGCTTTGTGAAGTCCAGAAACAATATGTAGGCTTTACCTTTTTATTAATAAATATGTATTTTTTAGATCCTTGGAGTATGGGGGTGGAGGATCGGATTAATTGTGTTATTTGGTATGTATAGATCCAAAGAAGCAGAGTGTGTGGTCTTGGAGTAGAAACCACGTGCAGCTTTACCTCTTACTTGACAACCATTGATTACTGGTGTTCTAGTTGTATCTTCTTTTGATTATTATATACTGGGACTATTTTGTCTGGTAAATTGATTAATACTAAATAAAATAATGATATTGCAATAGCAGTTAGAAACTATTTTTAAAGCAGTCTCATGATGGGTTTATTTTCTGGGAGGCTATTGATATGCATTGTTCCGTATGATTATCAATATATATGGAATTTGCACATTTTTAAAAAATTGTGGATTCATGTAGCAAAGTTTGAAAAGTTTTTTGTAGCGTGTTTTTCTTTTTGCCCTAATTCTTAGGTGAGAACTGCTAGTCTTTCACCATTTATAGCCTGCTGTATGAGATGTTCCTTTAGTACTGACTGGATCATTTATACATGTTGTCCTGTTTATTTATCAATATTATCAGCCTTGCTTAGGGAAAACTCTGCAACACAACTTGTATTTTATGTATTGGGTAATGTGATTATTTGGTAAGATGGTTTAGAACAGTGCTTCTCAAACTTGAATGTCATACAAAGTGAATGGGAGGCTGTAGAAATGCAGTTCTTATTTGATGGGTTTGGTTGGGGCCTGAGTTTCTGTGTTCCTAAGAGCTCCCAGTTGATACTGATGCTGCAGATCTGTTAGCATTTTTGATTTGCAAGGCTAGCGAATTAACATTTTTGGAATAGATTTTACTCCTTTTTAAAATTCAAACACATTTGACAATATTCCTGTTGATTTCCCTATATTAGCTCATATTTGAACTTGTTATAAAAAATCTACTTTTCCTTGGTTTTAGGATACCAAGGTGACCCTTTGCCTCTGTTAAAGGTCCTCTGCGGTTTCCTATTGGCACGGTACAAGAGGCAAGTTAAAATTTGAGGATGTTAGAGCAAAAGCACTATTTTCATTGGCACCTGTTGCCTTGTTACTTATTTTATTTATTTTATTTATTTTTTTATTTTTGAGACAGTCTTGCTTTGTTGCCCAGGCTAGAGTGAGTGCTGTGGCGTCAGCCTAGCTCACAGCAACCTCAAACTCCTGGGCTCAAGCAATTCTACTGCCTCAGCCTCCCGAGTAGCTGGGACTACAGGCATGCACCACCATGCCCAGCTAATTTTTTCTATATATATTAGTTGGCCAATTACTTTCTTTCTATTTATAGTAGAAACAGGGTCTTGCTCTTGCTCAGGCTGGTTTTGAACTCCTGACCTCAAGCAGTCCTCCTGCCTCGGCCTCCCAGAGTGCTAGGATTACAGGCGTGAGCCACTGCGCCCAGCCGCCTGGTTACTTAAATGTATGAAAACATATTTAGCAGTGAAACAAAATGACAAGAAATTAAGGGTGTGAGGCAACGGGAAAGGAGTCACAAACTTCAGAACAATTCAGTTGGCTGCTCAGGTATGGGTTATGTTTTGACAGAGACCTTCCTTCCAGCCTCCAGTTTCTATTATCATGTAAATGGATTTGAGGTCTCAGAAGGAAATAAGTGATTTTAACTGGCAGCTAGTATATCTATAAGAGCTTTAGTTTATTTGCCTACATATTGGTATTGATCTTTTTATAAAAAGGGTTTTGTTTTTTTTAAGCTAGAGTATTTACTGTTCGCATTGCCTTTGTTGATAAAGTTATATTCTTTTATTAATGTTTTAACCATCTAACTCTAATCAGGCTTGTCAAATTTTTCAGTATGATAGCAAAGATGACTAAAGTAGTTTATTTCTTTTTGCAAACAGATTTCATTTAAGACACAAGTAGTGTCTTAAATGAAGAGACCATTTCTTCACAGTGGCTCACGCCTGTAATCCTAGCACTCTGAGAGGCTGAGGTGGGAGGATCACTCAAGGTCAGGAGTTCAAAACAGCCTGAGTGAGACCCGTCTCTACTAAAAATAGAAAGAAATTAATTGGCCAACTAAAATATATATAGAAAAAATTAGTTGGGCATGGTGGCGCATGCCTGTAGTCCCAGCTACTTGAGAGGCTGAGGCAGGAGGATTGCTTGAGCCCAAGAGTTTGAGGTTGCTGTGAGCTAGGCTGACACCACAGTACTCTAGCCCAGGCCACAGAGTAAGACTCTGTCTCAAAGCAACAACAACAACAAAACACAAGTGTAATGGGATTCTGACTTCTATTACAAAAGACATTTGACTTCCATTACAAAAGACATTTTAAAAATTATGTAGCTAGCTGTTTAGCTGTTACAAATTTCAGTGTTAGTTATGCATTTCTAAATTTAAAAATCACTTATGCATGTTAAACTTAACTATTTTGCAAGTGGTAGTGAAAAATGATTCCTTTCAAATGTGATTTTTAAAATGGAGATGTTAAAAGGAAAGTTCTTTGTAGATGACTTTCCAAAAGAACTAGTAGGATGGAATAATTGGTTTGGGGAAGTAACTGTAAGTTTACTGATACAACTGTGGAATAAATTGATTTGTTCCTGTATTAATGCAACAGCTATTCCACCCCCGACCCCTACTTCAATTATGATTCACTTTGCTTTCCAAATTTTGGGAAATCTAATTATATCACTTCCCTATGATATATGTCTTATATACTTTGGATAAACTATAGATTTCTAGCTTAGCATATAATTACTTGGTTTTGGTTACCTTTAGCTTCCTTTTTCTCTCCTGTGCTCCTCCAGTGTTAAATTGTAGTCATTCTGAACCGTGAGGTTCCCCCCAACATAATAGTGTCTCCTTTTCTTCAGGTCATTGTTTATAGTGTTCTCTCTGCCTAGTACTATATTGCCTGCCTGTGACTTGGACTAATCCCTTAGGAGAGTTAAGATGTCACTTTTCCAGGAACCCTTGCCTGATCATCACTACCCCTCTACCCCCACCCCTCCAGACTAGGTTAGGTCCCTTTCCGGTCCATTCTCATACCACTTATAATATCCTGTATTTGCTTGTATGCCTGGGAGGTATTTGAGAGCAGGAGCTATTTTATTCATGGAATTATATCCCCAGTGTCTGATACATGATAGTAGTGCTTAACCAAATATTTGTCTATTTAATGTATAATGAATATGTAAAAAAATTAGTAATCTGTCAAAGCTTAAACAATTGTAGATCCTTTTATATCCCAGAGCCCATTTTCTCCCTGGCAGTGCCTTAGGCATATTTTCTAGTTGGTTGATAATCCTGATTCTGTCTGTTGGTAAGGTTAGTCCTTTTTACCCTCTTTGCCTGTAACCTAGCATTTTGTCTAGTTTCTGACTTTGAGGTAATTTCTTCCAGATGTAAAATTATTTTCTGATTCCTCCTGCCTAAAACCTTAGGCTTCTTTTTCGGCTATCCACATAAAGTGAAAAAAAAAAGTGTCTTACATTTATTTAGGAACTAATAGCTTATGATACACTTTCACATTCACCATCTAATGTAAATGAAGAAATAAATTCTATGGAAAACTAAGGGCTTATTCTGTCAGACTCATCATTTCAAGTGGAGAGAATGTGGTAGCTTTTAAAAGGCAAAGTGCATAGAAGTGCTACTAACCTTAGAGTTGAAGCTCATTTTCAGTAGGGGTCAGTTGAAAGCAATGAAATGAATGTGAGAATGCCAGGAGACTTACATCATCAGATGTATTGCCCTTTTGGAAAGAAAAAAAAGAACACTGAAGGATGAAATTTTTTAATAACAAAGGATGATACACAATTAACTATGTTAATGAAATCCTGGTAAGATAACAACTCTATAAAGCAATGGGTTTCCACCTTCTAATTTATTTTATGTACTGTGTAAAAACCATCTTCATTGAATATTTGGTGTCGAAGATCTTCTCAAATCAACAGATTTTGCTCACAGTTACTATAGTAGAGAGGTTAAGAGTATGATAATTACTGTCAGACTGACCTGGGTTTGAGTACCAGTTCTGTGATGTCTAAAACTGTCCTTTTGGGCTAATTACTAAATTTTATTGAGGGTTTGGTCTTTTTTTCTATAAAGTGAAGTTAATAAAGAAGAAAATTTTGTAAGAAAATTTTGAACAAGATGATAAATGACATGAATTGATGATATGGTGTTATAAACATTAAGGTGTTAGGTATATAATTGAGTACTTATAAGGGTTATTATAACATTATATTTAACATAGTGCTAGATTAGATATAAACATATAACACATTCAATAACATCCTTCCCCACTACTGGAAGAGTGAAGAGGGCTAGGTGTGGTTGCTTACTCCTGTCATCCCAGCACTCTGGGAAGCCGAGGCAGGATGATAGCTTTAGCCCAGGAGTTCAAGACCAGCCTTAGCAACATAGTGAGGCCCCGTATCTACAAAAAATTAAATATTAGCCAGGTATGGTGGCACTTGCCTATGGTCCCAGTACTCAGCAGGATGATTGCTTGAGCCCAGGAGTTTGAGTTCATAGTGAGCTGTGATGATGCCACTGCACTCTAGCCCAAGCAACAAAGTGAGATTCTGTCTTTTAAATAAAAAAAAAAAAGTGCAGAAGCAGCATATTCCGTGATTCTTTGGATCTTAATGCATGGGAGAATTAGATATTTAAATTTGTATATTAAAATATAACAAGTAGATACGTGTATATATGTGTGTGTTTGGAGGGAGGAGAGAAAGGATATGTTACTAACCTCTTTCAGTGTGTCAAATCTTATGCTAAGCATTTTCCGTGCATTTTTAATCTATTCCTCATAACTATAAGAAATGGACATTATTCCCTTATCATACATTTAAAAAAATTCTGAAGCTTATAGAGGCTAAAGAGCACGTAGCTAATAAATAGTAAGCCAATATTTAATCCAGAACTCTCCATCCAACCCTTACAACCTTTGCTTTTAGCCTCTCTAGCATTATCTTCCTATGAAAGGTCCTCACGTCCCTGGGGTACCTTGGATGTATTCTGAGATTTATGAGTTTACCATGAAAATTTTATGATTTTGTATTTTCATTTCATTGATAGTCACAAAATTTTATGTACATATTCTGGATCATTTGGATGAATATCTTAAAACTAAATACTGTATGTAGTTTCATCCATATTTATGGTTATGATCTCATTGTCTTTAAGTGTTACTACTGTAATTGTCATGGGCCAATAAGAAAAGAGGAGATGGTGGACCTAATACATAATGCTGCTTTCATACTAAGCAAATTCAAGTAACATTATAATGCACTTGAATGCACATTATGAAGCAAACTTTAAAAAATTTTTCGTTTTGACTTCATAATAGTTGTGCTGCATCTCTGTGAGGTATATGAGATGTTTTGATACAGTCATACAATGTGTAATGATCAAATCAGTGTAATTGGAATATCCATCATCTCAAGCATTTATCAATTCTTTGTATTAGGAGCATTCCACTTCCACTCTTCTGGTTGTTTAAAAATATACAATAAATTATTATTAACTATAGTCACCCTATTGTGCTACAGAATACTGGACCTTATTCTATCTGTATTTTTGTATGCATTAGTCATTTCTTCTTAATCTTCCCATTTCAGCCACTGGTAACCATCATTCTATTCTTTATGAGTTAAGTTTTTTTAGCTTCCAAATAATGAGTAAGAACATGCAATATTTATCTTTCTGTGCCTGGCCTATTTTACTTAACATAATGTCCTCTAGTTCATCCATGTTGTTGCAAATCACAGGATTTCATTCTTTTTTTTTCTGGCTGAATAATATTCTATCATGTATATATACCTCTTTGTCTTTATCCATTCATCCATTGATGGATACTCAGGTTGATTGCATATCTTGGCTATTGTGAATAGTGCTATAGTAAACATGGGAAATACTGATTTTTTTCTTTTGGATATATACCCAGTAGTGCAACTGCTGGATAATATCTTAGTTCCATTTCTAGTTTTTTTGAGGAATCTCCATAGTGGCTATACTAATTTACATTCCTACCAACAGTGTATGAGGATTCCCCTTTCTCTGCATTCCCGCCATGATTTGCTATTTTCTGTCTTTTTGATAATAACTGTTTTAACTGTGGTGACATGATATCTCATTGTGGTTTTGATTTGCACTTTCCTAATGATTAGGGATGTTTAGCACTTTTTTCATATATCTGTTGGACATTTGTATGTCATCTGTTGAGAAATGTCTGTTTAGGTCCTTTGCCCATCTTGAAATGGGATTATTTATTTTTTCCTATTGAATTGTTTGAGATTCTTAAATAATATATTCTGGTTATTAGTCCCTTGTTAGCTGAATAGTTTGCAAATATTTTCTCCCATTCTGTGCATTGTCTTTTTACTTTGTTGATTGTTTCCCTTGCTGTGCAGAAGCTTTTTAGCTTCCATGTGTGATTCCATGTGTCTTTTTTTTGCTTTAGTTGCCTGTGCTTTTGAGGTCTTAACTCAAGAAATGTTTGCCTAGACCAGTGTACTGTAGGGTTTACCCAATGTTTTCTTCTAGTAGTTTCAATTTCAAGTCTTAGACTAAAGTCTTTAATCCATTTGAATTTGATTTTTGTATATAGTGAGAGATAGGGGTCTAGTTTCATTTTTCTGCATGTGGAAATCCAGTTTTTCCAGCACCATTTCTTAAAAGACTGTTCATTCCCTAATGTATATTCTTGGCACCTTTGGCAAAAATGAGTTGACTATAAATTTATGGATTTATTTCTGGGTTCTCTATTTTGTTCTATTGGTCTATGTGTCTATTTTTTATGCCAGTACCATACTATTTTGGTTACAATAGCTTTATAGTATAATTTGAAGTCAGGTAATGTGATTCCTCAGCTTTGTTCTTTTGCTCAGGATTGTGGCTGTTGAGTCTTTTTTGGTTCCATATACATTTCAGAATTATTTTTCTATTTCTATGAAGAATGCTGTTGGTTATCTTGATAGAGTTTGCATTGAATCTGTAGATTGCTTTAGGTAGTATGGACCTTTTAACAATATTGACTCTTCTAATCCATGAGCATAGAATATCTTTCCATTTTTCTTCAGTTTCTTCAATTCTTTCATCAATGTTTTATAGTTTTCATCAGTGTTCAATTTATTTCATCAGTGTTTTATAGTTTTCATTTTAGAGATTTTTCACTTCTTTGGTTAAGTTTATTCCTAGACATTTTATTTTATGTGTAGCTATTGTAAATGGGATTACTTTCTTAGTTTCTTTTTCAGATTGTTTGCTGTTGGCATATAGAAATGCTACTGATTTTTTTTTTTTTTTGAGACAGAGTCTCACTTTGTTGCCCAGGCTAGAGTGAGTGCCGTGGCGTCAGCCTAGCTCACAGCAACCTCAAACTCCTGGGCTTGAGTGATCCTTCTGCCTCAGCCTCCCGAGTAGCTGGGACTACAGGCATGTGCCACCATGCCCGGCTAATTTTTTATATATATATCAGTTGGCCAATTAATTTGTTTCTATTTATAGTAGAGACGGGGTCTCGCTCTTGCTCAGGCTGGTTTTGAACTCCTGACCTTGAGCAATCCGCCCGCCTCGGCCTCCCAAGAGCTAGGATTACAGGCGTGAGCCACAGCGCCCGGCCTGCTACTGATTTTTATATGTTGATTTTTGTATCCTTCAATTTTACTGAATTTGTTTATCAGTTCTAATAGTTTTTTGGTGGAATCCTTAGGATTTTATAAAAAATATGTCACCCCTTCCTTTGCAACTTAGATGCCCTTATTTCTTTCTCTTTTCTACTCTGTCTAAGACTTCTAGTACTATTTTGAATAAAAGTGTTGAAAGTGAGCATCTTTGTCTTGTTCCATATCTTAGAAGAAAGTCTTTCAGTTTTTCCCCATTCAGTATAATTCTAGCTGGGGGTTTGTTGTATATGGCTTTTACTATGTTGAGGTATGTTCTTTCTATACCTAGTTTAGAGTTTTAATCATGAAATGATGTTAAATTTTCTTGAATGCTTTTTTGCCGTCTGTTGAAATGACCATATGGTTTTTGTCCTTCATTCTGTTGAAGCAAACTAACTTTTTTTTAGCCATTTGACAAAGAAAATTTCTGGGACAGTTGTGGATCTTCTTATGATTCATAAGAACTTGGGCCATAGTAGTAAATAACCGTGAGTATGCTGTTAGCATTGATTTCCCTATCAAATTAATAATAGTATTTTGAATATTGTGTTTTAGTTTTCCATATATTGAATTTATAAATGCTAAATTTAATATTTGTATATTTTAAGTATTATCATTTATCAACAGGGAATCTAGAAAATACTTTCCTTCACAATTATATGATATTATATCATAATCTAGATAAAGCCCCTTCAGCTCATGGGGATGCAACATTCAATTCTGCTCAGGAGAGTGCCGGAAAGCTTTGCCAAGCTATGGCCATTTAAGCTTCATCTTGAGCGCGTGTACACCCTTATGCTTGGTAAAGATAGGACAAAGGCAGAAGTAAGGACATTAAGACATCTGAAAAGGCAAAAAACAAAAACAAAACAAAAAACACTGCATGAGGGAGTAGTAGAAATACAGATGGTTGTTAGGGAACTTTTGTGCTAATTAAGGGAATTTGAATTTTATTATATCGTGAGTATGACACCAACAAAAACAAAAAGCAGGGGTCTGTAAACTAAACTTTTATAATTTGATTATGTACATGCTTAATTTTTATAAATTAATCATGTTTTACATAACATCGGAACCC